TAGATGTAATCACATTCACATCTCCCACACCAACACTAATCCGTTTCATAAGTCTATTCAAACCGTTTGACACAAACATATGGATTACATGTCTTATCATGATTTTTATGGTTTCTGTTGTATTAAAATTTAATGCTATTTGTAAATCATTTGTGGATATCCTGTGGACAGTTGTGTCCATATATTTCAAACAAAATGTTCATCAAATAAATGCTAACAATAGTGTTAATCGTATGGTATTGTCAACACTATTGCTGTCATGTGTAGTGTTGAGTACACTATACGGCGGATGTGTTTATTCAATAATTGCCAGCAATAGTGGGCATTGGATTCACACCATTGAACACTTGGCCACCGCTCAAGAATCGGGGTATTTGCAGATATTATCGACTGAAGCAGCTTATATTTCATTAATTAAGGTTAAAAATATTAATAAGTTATAAATTATAAAAATAATAACAATGCATTTAATTAAAATCTGACAGTAAATAATTAACTTACAATATATCCCACTTATTAAACAATTAATAAAATTTATTGTTTCATCAAAAGTTATAAATTATAAGTACGTTTAGATAATTACATAATAATAATCAGGCAATTTATAAAATTCATATAGTTTAGTTAAAACTTTTAATAAATAATAAATCTTTAAAACAGAACAAAGAATCGGTTTATTACACAAGAATCGGACGATATGTTGAACACCACAAATGGATAACCCTTTTGATGCGAAAATTAAATGACCATGAACGTATTTATTCGTTAATTGCCACCAGAAATTTATTACAATTTTTCCTGCATTACTATCGCATACGACGGCAAACATTACCTAAACTATCGATTGACACACAATTCTCCACATATCTAATGTCCATTGGTTTACAAAAACATTCAATATATACACACGAGTTAAACAAATTGTAAGTATACAGCTAAACAGCTATAAACAATCTAACCATGTTTTCCTATTAATTGTTTTTCTGTTTTTACCTAGTTTATTTAATATAATGAAATCTGGCCTGATAGAACACTGGACCCAGATGCTTTATTTAAAGTTATTCAACGTTGATATTGATAGCAGTGAATATAACGCACGTTCTTTTGCCTCTGACCAGGATGAAATGACCCAGCTAGATTTATCTGATATATACATATTAATGAGAAAGTTGTTTGTTTTATACATAATTTCAATAATAGTTTTGGTGGTTGAGTTTGCATTAAATTACGCTAGCAACTATTAGAAAATGATTAAGGTAGTTTAATAAAATTTATATATCACAATAATAAACTGTGCTTATGCTCAAATACTGCATTTAATATTGTATGTTGCCTGTATTTAAATTGTTATGGTATCGATATAAATAATTATAACAATGTTACTACTTGTGCTACTAAGTTATATAATTTTAATTAAATTTATCAAAATGATTTAGTTTAAAAGTGGGAAAGTTCTTTAATAACACATCAAAAAATATTTGTTAATCAAATTTTACGCTAAACTATAACTTATAAATTATATAATAAAATAAATAATTATAGTGTAAATAATTTTAAATATAATCTATTATATAAATTTTTATTGCACTAATTAAAACTAATTTTAACATTTAAGTATAAATGTCAAAAACATAAATAATTGTGATAAATTTTGAAAAATAATTGTCACAATAAATTAAACAACAAAATTGATTAATTATTAATATATTAGTTTATATTAATAAATATATTAAATGTACAAATTCAGTGCTGTTTATTTATTTTTATTTCAATTTATATAAAGATAATTATTGTTAAGTTGAAAGTAGAATAATAAACTTTTGCAACATGCAAGAATATTAATTATTATAATTACAATAAATTATTTATTTTAAAAAAATCCTATTTAATTGTAAGAAAATATGCATAACAATAATTATTGTTGTCAATACTATTTATAAAACTATTGATAAAATGTTACAATTAAAATAACCTTTCAAATATTGAATTTATAAAATATAATGGCTTTATGGCAGTAATATTTAATTTGCATAACTGATTTCATGAACTAATTATAAAAATACATTTAAGTAAAAAATATGTTTTTATAATATAGTTTTATAGAGAGTATATATATTTAATAAATTTCATATTATCTAAAAACATTAATTTATTTGTGTTTTTAAAATATCGGTTTGTCCATCATTTAACAAATTATATTATTAACAACTTAATATATTATGGTAAATTTAATGGGGAAATGTTTAACAATTGCCACTACAAGGGTATTTTAACATGATATGAATATATTATTTAATTATATTAAGAGTATGCTACATTTACAATATTTATATTATTAGGTAAGACCTTATGTATTTGTGACACAGTACCCACCGGACAACATTAATAAAATACAGTGCAACTTCTCTTGGGTAAACTTCCCTTGGGTGAACACCTCCTCATAATGAACGGTTTTGAAATCTATGTTATATTTCCTATACTTATAATGTTAAAATAACCTCCCTTAGATAAACTTCTCCATAATGAATACCTCCCCATTATGAACGGATTTATAGAGATTAAGATAAAAATTTCTACTCCCAATAATGAACAAATATAATAATAGGCACATTATTCCTAAAAGTATTCCAAATAGTTTTTAATCTGAGACTTAAGCAAACAAATAACACATTTTCATTCATAGTGTCATTCAATATTGCATTTTATAGTTCTATTTTATATCCAAAAAGGCATCCGATGATCAAATGTTTGAACAATCGGACAAAATTAAGATTAAAGCATCTAATTATCATTTAAATACAGCTAAACAAACTAAATTTACTGATCATTTTTAATAATTACTATTGTTTATAATAATTTTCAAAAATTACTCAAAAATAAGACATTTTTACTCAAACCTCCCTTGGATGAACCCTCCCTATAATGAACACTTTTGTCGTGCAACTAGCCGTTCATTATGGAGAAGTTGCACTGTATTTGGCGGAATTGAATATAGTTTGCTAGATACATTGGGCAAGAAGTGGAATTTTACCATAATGGTAATTAATACTTACGGTAATTGGGGCACAAAAATGGCTAATGGTACATTTGATGGTATTGTTGGATTGCTACAATCAAAAGTAAACTTAATTAAATACATTTAATTAAAAATAATAAATAGATTTTCGTATTATAATTATAGAAAGCTGATGTAGGTATAGGACAGTTGACTCATACACTGGACAGGAGTGTAGCCGTGGACTTGAGTTACCCCCACATAATAGATGTAATCACATTCACATCTCCCACACCAACACTAATCCATTTCATAAGTCTATTCAAACCGTTTGACACAAACACATGGATCGCGTGTTTTGTCATGATTTTTATGGTTTCTGTTGTATTGAAAATTATCTCAAGATATAAATCATTTGTGGATATCTTGTGGTCAGTTGTGTCCATATATTTAAAACAAAGTGTCCATCAAATAAATGCTAACAATAGTGTTAATCGTATGGTATTGTCAACACTATTGCTGTCATGTGTAGTGTTGAGTACACTATACGGCGGATGTGTTTATTCAATAATCGCCGGCAATAGTGAGCATTGGATTTACACCATTGAACACTTGGCCACTGCTCAAGAATCCGGGTATTTACAGATATTATCACCAAAAGCAAATTATATTTCGTTAATCAAGGTAAAGTTAGCTTGGTGGAAATAAGATAAAAATGTAATCTTCTATATTAAATTATATTTATTAATTAAAAATTTTAGAGTAAAGAATCGGTATATTACTCGAGAATTGGACGCCATATTAAACATGGGCTAATATTAGATTTGATTAAAAAATTGAATGACCATGATCAGATTTATTTGGTTATTACCACCAGAAATTTGTTAACATTTTTCCTGCATTACTATCGCATACGACGGCAAACATTACCTAAACTATCGATTGACACACAATTCTCCACATATTTAATATCCATTGGTTTACAAAAGCATTCAATATACACGAGTTAAACAAATTGTAAATATATATTTTGCATCTAAACAGCTATAAACAGTCTAACCATATTTTTCTATTAATAACAAATTGTTTTTCTGTTGTTACCTAGTTTATTCAATACAATAAAATCTGGCCTGATTGACCACTGGACCCAGATGCTTTATCTAAAGTTATTTAACGTCGATATTGATCGCAGTGAATATAACGCACGTACTGTTGTCCCTGACCTGTTTGAATTGTCCCAGCTCACTTTATTTGATATATACATATTAATTAAAAAATTAATCATGCTATACATAATTTCAGTAATAGTTTTGTTTTGTGAGTTTGCATTTAATTTTAATGCCTTTTATTATAAATTTGTTAATTTATTATAATTACAGTAAGTTTTAAATGTTGATCATCATTATCTATTTGATAATATAGTAACTTATTCTTAAAATTGTCATACATGTTATTACAACAAGACAATTAAATGTACAAGTTGCTATTACGATTGTAATGTCATATGCGTTTACTTGATATTGAATTTAAATTTATTAGCTTTGTTAACAATAAAATTCAAATTTACTTAACTTTATCTGATTGATTACATGTAACTTTACTATATTTAATATAATATCTAGATCTGTATTTTACATTATTTTTGTGTTAGAACTTTTGTAAAAATATATATAAATTACATTTTTGACAAATAAAAGACAATATTGATGGCTATATTTGAATAATATTTAACACATATTGTGTTTTAAGCTCAAAGTCAACATTGTTTGTAGACAGGTAAATTGATTAAATTGAGTGCATTGCTATAAAGTGAACTTTCTACCAAGTAAATTAAAAACAACATTATAAATTAAATTAAGTTAATAAATACATAGTTTACATGAATAAAATTAATAAGTGTTGTTAAAGATAATTAAATTATGTTTACCACTAAAAATTAAAATATAAATATTTATACAAACTTTTGTTAGTACGAATGGGAAATAATAAATATAATTTTAAATTAATGCAGCATGTTTGATTGAAACAATAAAACATACATTGAATATAATAATTTTTATGTTCAATATATACTTTGTTTTAATTAACAAAATTAAATTAATCTAAAACATTTCACATATATTTTATTAGTGTGTTTAATAATCACCAAAAATCGAGTTCTTAATCTGAAAACATGTTTAATTTAATGGGAAAGTGCCTAAAAATAGCCATAACAAGGGTATTCTTGTAGTATAGAAGTTTACCTTATGTTATTAATGAAAATTTATTTTATAAGGCAAGGCCATATGTATTTGTAACAATAGATCCAGAGGATAAAAATACCAAATTACTTGGTGGTATTGAAGCTAGTTTGCTGCTTACATTGAGAAATAAGCGGAATTTTACCATGATCTTAATTAATACATACGAGCATTGGGGTAATAAAATGGCCAATGGTACATTTGATGGCATTGTTGGCTTGTTGCAATCAAAAGCAAGTATATTTTAAAATGATTGAATATTGTGCATTAATGGTTAAAATTTTATAGATAGCTGATGTAGGTATAGGACATTTGGACCATACATTGGATAGGAGGATAGCCGTGGACTTAAGTTACCCCCACATAATAGATGTAATCACATTCACATCTCCCACACCAACACTAATCCATTTCATAAGTCTATTCAAACCGTTTGACACAAACATATGGATTACATGTCTTATTATGATTTTTATGGTTTCTGTTGTATTAAAATTTAATGCAATTTGTAAACCAATTGTGAATATCTTGTGGACAGTTGTGTTCATATATTTCAAACAAAGTATCCGTCAGTTAAATGCAAACAACAATAGTGTAAATCGTATGGTATTGTCAACACTATTGCTGTCATGTGTAGTGTTGAGTACACTATACGGCGGATGTGTTTATTCAATAATTGCCAGCAATAGTGGGCATTGGATTCACACCATTGAACACTTGGCCGCCGCTCAGGAATCCGAGTATTTACAGATACTTTCGACTAAAGCATATTATATCTCGTTAATCAAGGTATAGTGAGCTTGGCCGAACTAACATAAAAATAAATTCCTGTATATAAAACCTGATTTATTATATAAATTTCAGAGTAAAAACTCGGTTTATTACTCTAGAATTGGACGCCATATTAAACATGGTGCAATAGTAGATTTGATACAAAAATTAAATAATCATGATCAGATTTATTCGGTTATTTCCACTAGAAATTTGTTAACATTTTTCCTGCATTACTATCGCATACGACGGCAAACATTACCTAAACTATCGATTGACACACAATTCTCCACATATTTAATATCCATTGGTTTACAAAAACATTCAATATATTCACACGAGTTAAACAAATTGTAAATATATATTTTGCATTTTAACTGTTAAAATATTCTAACCATGTTTTACTATTAATAATAAATTGTTTTTCTGTTTTTATTTAGTTTATTTAATATAATAAAATCTGGCCTGATAGAACACTGGACCCAGATGCTATATTTAAAGTTATTCAAAATTGATATTGATAGCAGTGAATATAACACACGCACTGTTGTCCCCGACCAGTTTGAAGTGTCCCAGCTTACTTTATTTGATATATACATATTAATTAAAAAATTAATTATGTTATATATAATTTCAATAATAGTTTTGTTTTGCGAGTTTGTATCTAATTTTGATGCATTTTATTATAAAATTATTTATTTATAATAATTGCAGTAAGTTTTAAATGTTCCTCATCATTATCAATAATATTGTAACTTATTTATAAAATTGCCATACATGTTATTACAACAAGACAATTAAATGTACAAATTGTTTTTACTATTGTAATGTTCTGTGCGTTTACTATTGAATTTAAATTTATTAGCTTTTTAACAATAAAAATCACAACTATTATACTTTATCTGATTGAGTACATTTATTACTATATTTGAAATAATATATAGATTATATTTTACATAATATTTATGTTAGAACGTTTGTTTTGTAAAAATATAAATAAATTTTTTTGACAGATTTTTTTATTTTAACATTTTAATATTTAAATTTTTTTACTTATTTTTATTATTACAAAAATTGGTAACCATAGAAACTCAACGAATTGAGCATAATAAAATATTGTCAATTGTGTTAAAATTTACAATACCTTAAATAATTTTATAAAATTTAATTAAAATTTACATAAAAATATGACTATACTTAATTATATAATGAAATGCAAACATTATAGTGTAAATAAAAATGTTTTTATTGCAGTAATTAGAATTAATATAACATTTAAGTATAAATGTTTAAAATATTAATAATTGTGATTTTTGTCACAATAAAAATTTACTTTTATAGATGTCAGTTTGTCTGACAAGTTACAACTTTTATTATTTTATTAAATAATTCTTTAATTAAATAAAATAATCTAATTGAAACATGTGTAACAATTGCCACTACAAGAGTATTTTAACATTATATAAATGTATTATTTAATTATATGAACTTATTATAATAACAAGCATGGTATATTTATAACATTTTTATTGCTAAACAAAACTTTATAAATTTGCTTCACAATATCCAGGCGATACAATTACCAGGATATTTGGGGGGGATTTCAATGTCATTTGTATTGGTTGTTAAAATGCTGGTTGATATCGATTGAACAGGTATTTCACTAATTGATGTACTTTCATACGATTGATAGCCTGATGTTGAAGGTAGGGATGGATATATAATAAGATAAATAAATTAATTTATATAATAATATAAATAAATAATAATATAAATAATATTACATGAATGTGATGATGATTGATAAACTGGTGACATGGATTTGCTATGGTGTGTGTTAGCTCGAGTTCTACAAGTACCACAAACCAAGTCACCGATTGCCACATCAACATGATCATTTTCTTTTCTTTTATTAGTTAATATTATTGGTTTCACTTTGATAAGTTTGTTAACTTGATCAACATTCTTTACCCGACGTACATAACGTTTCGGTACTTTGTCCAGTCGTATTGAACACCATGCACATTTATGATACCTTAAATTTACAATACTAGTCATTTTGGGAAAAATCAAACTTTTGTAAAAATTATACTGGTGAACTTACATAAAGTTTTTTTTACATATTATGATACAGTTTAAAATTTCCTTCAAATGATATATACATTTATATTAGTATTAAATGTTTACAATGGCAACATGCTCATCTCAATCATTATGTAATTTAATTGTGATTTTTGATTGGTAAAATTAATTTTAAATAAAAACATCTTTTAAATAATTACAAATATTTTACTTTACTCTCAGTTTATACATCCGTTGGAATTGTTTTTGAATAACTTGTATAGTTATCTCGCAATTATTTTTGAATATTGACTTAAAATATGATCCTGTTACAATGTGTTTTGAGTTAAATAAATAATGTTTACATTTTTTGTTATTGTATGCTGTATTAATTATTTGAATAACATTTTAATTTTGTTTCTAAAAGCTTGTGATTCTATTATATTAAAATATGTGAATGAATTATATAATAAAATTAAAATATAGTGTAAATCAAATCAAATATAATCTATTATATACTGTATATAATTTAGTATATTGTATGTATGTTTTTATCGCAGTAATTAGAATAAATAATATCATTTAAATAAAAATGCTAAATTTATACATAATTAAGGAATTATGATAACAATTTTGTCACAATGTTGTTTAAATGAACTCAACAACAAAATTGATTTAATATTAATGTATTACTTTCTATTAATAAATATATTAAATGTAAAAATTCAGTGCTGTTTATGTATTTTTATGTCAATTGAAATACAAATAATTATTATTAAATTGAAAGTAAAATAATGTAATTTATGTGACATGCAAGAATATTAATGATTATAATTTTATTTAATTATTTATAAAAAAAATCTTTTCAAATTGTATTGAAATATACATAATAATAATTGTAATAATAATTATTAATTGTTAATTCTATTTGTAAAACTGTTGATAAATGTTAGTTAAAATGATCTGTTAAATATTGTGTTCATATAATAATAAATTAATTGCAATAACATTTAATTTGTAAAACTATTATTTAAACTGGTTATAAAAAACATTTAATTACAAATATAGAGTGTGTATACAGTACATTATAATAAACCTACTAAACGTTAATTTAGTTTCACAGATATCAGTTTGTCTATCAATTTATAACTTATATTACATTATGATTAATTTAATGGGAAAATGTTTAAGAATTGCTACGACAAGGGTATTGTAACATGATATGAATTAATTATATTAATAAGTATGTTACATTCATAATATTTATATTATTAGGCAAGACCTTATAGTACCCTCCAGATAACATAACTAAGATACATGACGGAATTGAATATAAATTGCTAGATACACTGCGTGATAAGTGGAATTTTACCATAATGGTAATTAATACTTACAGTAAATGGGGAACAAAAATGTCGAATGGTACATTTGATGGCATTGTTGGATTGCTACAATCAAAAGTGAACTTACTTATGTAAATTTAATTTTAAATGATAAATAATTGTTTGTATTATAATTATAGCAAGCTGATTTAGGTATTGGACAGTTGGCTCATATCCTGGACAGAAGGGTAGCCGTGGACTTGAGTTACCCCCACATAATAGATGTAATCACATTCACATCTCCCACACCAACACTAATCCATTTCATAAGTCTATTCAAACCGTTTGACACAAACACATGGATTGCCATTTCAATCATGATTTTTATGGTTTCTGTTGTATTGAAAATTATCTCAAGATATAAATCATTTGTGGATATCTTGTGGACTGTTTTGTCCATATATTTCATGCAAAGTGTCTCTTATTTAAATGTTAACAATAGTGTTAATCGTATGGTATTGTCAACACTATTGCTGTCATGTGTAGTGTTGAGTACACTATACGGCGGATGTG